AACCATTTTCAGACATTTGAATTTGTTCCTAAAACTGGTGCTTTGTTGGCTCATTAGAGACATTTAGTTTTTCTATGGATGAGAACATTAGAATACTATGCCTCTACTTTCCTTCTTTAGCTGCTTCCTTTTTTGTTGTTTTTGAGACAGACTCTCACAATGTAGCCCAGTATAGCCTGAAGTTAATTTGCCAAACAAACTGACCTTAAACTCTGATCCTCTTGTCCCGCCTTCCTAAGTGCTGGGATTACATGTGAGCACCATTAGCTAGCTCATTGGAGACATTCCTAATGTTGGGGTTTCTCCCACAAGCCTTCTTCCCACAAGCCTTCCTTACGTTTGGAGCTAACTCAGAATACCCTTCCATAAAGGCAAGAGAATGTGAATGAGTTTTCCCAGATGTGGAGTCAACTGGGTTGTCTTTAAATGGCCTAAAGACTCAGCAGATCAGAAAACTTTGACTTCTCTTTGTTGAGCCTTCTCATGCTGCCTCGGCAGAGCACACTGGTATTTGTGTAGGCAAGGTGTAGGCAAGGAAGAATGCAGAAGACACTGAAGCAGGTTCTTCCACTAAGATAACTTCCTCACCCAAGCTATGTTTATTAGTTTTTAAATTAACTTCTGGTTAGAATACAAAGTCAAGTATTTCCTTACAACATTTTCATATATGTTCTCATATATATACTTTGCTTGTGTTCACTCTTCTATGAGTCTCCTCCTTCCCTACACACAAGTGCAAACAGACACACATGCACAGACACATGCACACACATGCACAGACATACATGCACATACACACATGCACACACACACCACCACTACCACCACACCATCATACCACACACCACTGAGCTTTCTTTATAGCTAAGGACCTACAAGTACCATTTGATATAGTTGCGAATTATGAGTTTCTTAAGAATTTGTTTTAAGAATTTTTTCCCTATGCAACTCCATTTGTTCTATGAATAGCTTAGATGAAATGCATATGGGAAAATGGTATAAGCTTAGGAAATGTTAGATAGTAGACAAGTCTCTTTAAACAAACCCTTAAAATGAGTGCTTGTTCCTCTGTCAGATCCACCACAGTAAAGGACAAGAGTGTCTTTGTCCAAAGAGTTCTTTTTTTTCTGTTACATTTTAAAGATGAGCTATTTCTCCCAATCAATTGGCTCTAGGTAACCCCATTTTCCATGAGGGGGATTGGAACTGTTGAGACAGTTCCTCCTGGCTCAATCTCTAGCAGGTTTCCTCTACTTCCATGCTTTCCAAAGCTTCCTTTCTGATCCTGAATTCACATTTTACAGCAGCCAAGAGGGGGAAGGTGTGAAAGGCCAGCTTTGTTCTCTGAACCCTGTTAGCCTAGGGCATCAGCTCCTCCTCATAGCCAGGATGAGATCCAAATTAAACAGCCTCTGTATGAAATCCCATAGTTCCGTTGCTGTCCTCTGTGTTTCTCCTCCAAATCCTTCCACCTAGTCACTGTGACACTGAGCCAACTGACTGGATGTGCAGGACATATACTGTCATCTAGGTGTAAAATCGGAAGCTGTTAGATCCCCTTAGCATGGCCTTCGAGAGATGCACATCACATCTTAAGGGAATGCTGGTACATAATTTATTAGCCTTTTCAGCATGTTAGCAGCAAAATCTTTTACCGACACAGGGTGTGAAGTCTTCAGAAATAGCATTTGTCTTGTTTGGGACAGTGTTTCCAGGGGAATGGGGCAATGGGGAATCCATAGAACATTAGCTTCTGTGGGTGAAAAAGGTCCTGCTTGCTCTCAAAGTGGACTCTGTAAAAGGATGTGACTGATCCCCACTTTGCCAGTGTTCCTGAAATCAAAGCAGGGGGAATGATTCTAACTTGATCTCAAAATTACCTTGATTCTAATGGATGATGGAGAAACAAATACTTGTGGCTGCCTCCAAATACATCAGGCATCTGGACAGCCCTGAACTACCCTGGTGCTACAGTACCAAAGTGGCTTCAACCAGACTCTCGAGATGTCCCCTGGCCCTGTCAAGTCCTACAGTAATCCAAGCCCTGTGGTCACCTCTTATGCCACTGGCTGGTCATGGCACTCAGTGTGCTAGAATATGAGGTTGCTGGGATTCTCTGGGAGAATCTCACATACCAAGCATTGGAACAGATTGCTTGTCCTGATAACTGGGTCATCTAAAGCTAGAAACTTGATTGGTATGTAAGAATTAATTATCTTAGTATTAACACTGCCATGTCAGATTTCTTTGAGAAAGCACAAAGAAGAGAATGAAATGCATTTGGTGTTAAAGAGAGGTTAAAGAGAGAGAGAGAGAGAGAGAGAGAGAGAGAGAGAGAGAGAGAGAGAGA